CTGGTAGAGCTCACCCTTCTAGTTTCGATCGTCGCCAAGCAACCCGGCACGCCTCACCCGAGGCGCAGCGGTAAATGCCTCAAAATCTGCGGTCGGGTAGCCTGAACCAGAAGGCAATTAGCCAATCTTGGTATGCAGTAGCCATGCAATAATATCCCAAACTCGTTTGTGCTTTGAATCGGTGCACAATGGCTCGCGCTGTATCGAGATTGAATTCTTGAAAATCGAGAAATGCAAACTCGGTACGGTCTGGCTAACCGTCTCGACTATCCGTTTTGCCCAACCGGTTAGCTGCGAGTGTAGCTCTCGGTTCGAGTTGGCAACTTGCGACCGCACTTCTCGTCGCGGTGTTGCCACCTGCTTATTGTACCGGCAGCCGATAGAACTGTTTATTTCCTTGAAAATAGGCACCACTGCGTCAAATCCCGCGTTCGAATGCATCGTGAGTTCATATATTTAGTTTATCAAAGTGTGGCACTCTTCACATTCAGAGACGTTGCCACCACGTGGACGACGCCTTGGGCGCTGACGGACTCGCACTTGTGGTCATGCACGGCTCGAAGAATTTGCGGATCGCCGGGTCGAGCGTCGTTACAATGTAATCGTAAATTGCGCACTCGCGTGGCGACCGGTAGAGTTCGATGGCCCGTTGCAAGGTGTCGCATTGCATTGTCAGTGCAGCGGTCGACGACTGGAGCTCGTACGCGCGCTGCAGTAGCTGGATAAACTGTATGCGCTCCGAGCGTCGTAATTTGGCAGCCGAGAGAACTTCGATCTTGGCGAAACCATCCAAGGACGGTGCGTTCTCCGAGGTAATCTCGACTTCGGCGCGTCTTGCTTGACGTGGTGTTGAAGCTTTTGGGGGGGGTTTGAGCATTGTGGTGCCTTCAGTTGGCTGACAAGGCTCGTCGGTGGCTGCGTCCATGGTCCCTGCAATGCCAGAGGCTGCAGTGAAGCGTCCCACTTTTGTTTCATGGCGGATGATTTCCACCGATGATGGCTGGGAGCCAAGTCCGTTTCCGGCGGCAGTGTCTGCACCTGGCAAACGTTTGGTCCAGCTGCTGTCGCAAGATGCCGCCACGGGAGACACGGGCGTGGACCGACTCGACGTCGGCGGGACCACTATCGGCATGTCAACGACATCGTACACCATTGGTTGAACTAGCCGCTGAGAAGATTCAGATTGAAACGGATGCACCGAGTTGAGGTGCCGGGCAAGGCCGGCCGCCTCCACAAAGCTCAGTTTCTTGCTCGTTGGCGTCCCTTGATGGTGGCTAACGACCGACGACACCACCAACTCGGACCCAGATGCGACGACTTTCGTCGGGGACGTCACGTCCTCACGTGGCTTGGCATTCTTTGGCAAGGCGAGATGGTACTTGGTTTGCAGCACAGCACCGGCTATTATGCGATGCAAGCTGCGCAAGCGCGATATCGGTTTTGGCGGCACCGGCTGGATCTCAAAGAGGTACGTATACACGCGCTCGAGACAGTCGCTGATGCGGTACACGTGCGGCCATGCCGACAACGCCACCTCGACGCTCTCGATCGCCGCTGGCGTCCAGCGTCGCGGCGGGGCCCGTGCCGACTTCGCACTCTCCACGATCAGCGCCAGTATCGAGGCACACTTGGTCACCGTCGATCGACTTTGCACTTTGAGTGCAAAGGCAAAGTGGTCGACGCACCCGGGATGCTCGAGCCAGAGCCTTACGGGCGTGACCTTGTCGAGCGTCGCGTTGTACAAGCTGTGAGTGGCATCGATGATGTGCTTGGTGGATCCGACCATGCAGAGCGCGGATAAGATCTGAAGGTAGACGGCGGGCTGGAGGTGGAGACGGCCGGTGCGATACCACTGAAGTAGAAAGAGCGCACATTCACGCATGGCGACGCGGTCTTGAAGCGCAATGCTTTGCGTCCAAATATCGAGCGCCAAGCGAAAGAGGTCGTTGGCTGTCGCGATGGCGTCGTCGGGGGGTTGATGGTGAGAGAGCCACGGACTATCGCTGATGACGACGATAGAACAAGGTGTCGTATCGTTGGGCGCGGTCGTGCTTGTGTT